TCATAGGACCACTTCCACCATCTAAAGGGAATATTTATTGTCTTACTTGCATAGATAGATTTTCGAATTGGATGGAAGCAATTCCTTTAGAAAATATTTCTGCTGAGAACGTCGCAAGAAGCCTTTTATAGCAACTGGATTGCGCGTTTCGGAACGCCAAGTAAACTCATTAGTGATCGTGGATCCCAATTTAAAAGTGATACATTACGAGCTTTGTCCAAAATCTGTGGCATCAATTTACAACACACTACTGCCTACCACCCCTCGTGTAATGGCAAAGTTGAGCGCCTTCATCGAACATTAAAAACAGCATTAAAAGCCCACAACAACATATCTTGGACGGACACGTTACCAACAGTACTTTTGGGTTTGTAAACTATTCAACAGCACTATTCAAGAAGATACCAATCATTCTATTGCGCAAGTAGTTTATGGCCAGAGTCTCAGACTTCCTGGCGAGTTTTTCAGCGAACCAAGTATCCAGACAGCATCGGAGACTTTTGCTAATAAACTCCAGAAACAGATGGAAGTTGTTGGACCGAGACTAATTCGTAAAAATTCATCTGAACAGATATTTGTCCATAAAGACTTAAAAACTTGTTCTCATGTGTTTCAGCGAATAGATCGGATAAAAAAAACCTTTGGAACCTCCTTATGAAGGACCATTTCCTGTTATTGATCGCAAGGACAAATATTTTACTATTAGCACAAAAGGAAAACATGTTAATGTATCCCTGGATCGCCTGAAACCAGCATATATTTTAGCTGAGGAAAATTCTCAGTTGATACAACCTGACTACAGTAATTTGCAGAGACCGGACTCAAATTCGGATGTGAATCAAAAACCTTCTCGCACAGGCAGAACTATACGTTTACCTGTTAGATTCAAGGACTGACTAAATTATTTTGATAGTGGTTAACACTGCAATACTAGTTACTACCTATTTCTCCATCTTCGTAACGTAACTTAGTTACTGGTGGGGGAGTAGTGTAGTGGCCCAGTTATTGCATGAGAAATAATTATTTTTTATTTCATATATTTGTTCATGTGTTTAATTATTTTATAAAATTAACTTTAATATTTTGTTAATATTCATATATTTAAATTTCTTTATGCTGAATGGCAAAATTTATTTTTCTTTATGCTGAATGGCAACTAGTTCTGATTCATGATTGCTAGGTTTTGGTTTCAAAACGTTGCTCGTAGCGTCGCATTTCGATAGCTGGAAAATAAAATGCAATAACTTAGCTATTTGTTTATAATTCATGCTGTACTAGTCATAAATTAATTTTAAACATAGTAGCAAGGTACAATTCACCCCCCAAAATTCTTGAATGAAGACTTTCTGCACTTTTACCCCAACTAAAAATTCCAGTTATTGAAGAAAACATTTCATTAAATTTCGTAGCTCATTGATCCCCTGGATACGGCCGGGGACAATGTCCTTGCCCCAACCTAGCTACGCCACTTTTACTAGGTTAATTTATACTTTTCCTCGGATTACCTGATTAATTATCCATCCAAGTTCCAAGTTCCGATGAATATGCCGCGAATAGCATCTGCATGCTTTGTTCCGGCTGCCTTGAAATTATGCTTCAAAGAGAGCAGCAGGTAAGCGAATGTTGAACATAGGTCCGGGGGATAGGCTAGTTGGGGAAAGGGGGCGTGACCAATAGTCACGTGTAACAGCGAACGGCATCGGATTGGTGGATACACCACAGTAGTAAAACTGAAAAAGTGTATTTATATCGAAAAATTGAAAATAAAATATGAAAATTATTTTCTTAAAGTACTGGAGTGAGGTTTGCATTGAAAAGTCTCATCACATTGTATAATTGAAAATGTATCAAATTACTTGGTAATCCAAAGTTCATAGTTGCACTCTCTCCTGTCGTAATAGTGAATACAGATGTAAAACGTACATAAATCAAACAGAATAGAATAGAATAGCAAAGTAAATGAAATTTTTAGTGATATTTACGTATGTGCATAGACAGCATAAAAGTTTCTGCTGGATTATTAATTATGAGCAGCTACACAGAAAAGCCACTAGTATTATCACGATGACGTGATTTAATCGTCCTACATTTCCTTGGATTATATTTCAGTCTAAGATATGTTTATGTATCAGATATGTGGTGACTAAAAATAAGAAAAACTGGGACAACATGGTCTCCACGTGAGAATGACGTTTATTCTTTAGTGTGATCTGATATTATTTTTTGTGATATTGCTATCGAATTGAATATTATGGTTCAAGTGCGAAGAACATGATATTTAGTAAATAAAGGTAACACTCAAAACGTTAAAAAAGCCCCTTTGAAGGTAATATAAATTCTCAAAAACTTTCAGATTTTTTCTTTTTATACTTTTTTATATTTTTCAATTTTTATTTGATGTTTTTATTTTATTTGATTTTTTATGTATTTTTGCCTTGTCGCGAAATGAGAACTGAAGTAATTGAATGAGAAATGTTTCTCTAATGAAATTCGAGAAAATAAGTTTAAATGAAATGCAGTAAAAAATATGTAGGATTTAATATTCCGTTCAAGGAAGTCATGTCGTTTACAAGTCAGATTTTTTAATGACGAATATGTTAAAAAGGTGGAAACATTTTCTTATCTCGCTATCATTTTTAAGATATTTTTAATTATAAATTATTCTGCTTGAATGAGGCAAAACACACAGGTGCGTTCTATCTATTGGGACGAACTACCTTCGTATCGAACTTTCAGGTGAAAAGTAGTTCATATTTATAGCACGCGCACGAAAAAGCCCGAAATCCCGAAAATGCAGTTTAGAAAATCACAAAAATGAAGCTCAAGTCTGTTCGCCAAGTCGAACTAGCAGTGTTGAGATATTTAAACAGTGCTGCGATTTTTTCTATTTATTTTTTAATTCCTCGAGAAATACTTTGTTATTAAAATTATAAAGAAAGTGAACTGCGAATTTGTATAATGAAATGACGTCAGTCTATTATATTACGTAGCACAATGCAACACAGAAAACATTTGGCCCTTCCCTCGTTGTCTTTTTCAAATAATAAAACAGGTATAATTCATTAAAGTTAAAACACGTATAATTCATTACATTGTTGAACTGTGTTTAAACGAGAATACATTCAAAATTCTTCATTGATTATATACAGGGTGATTATAATTAAAGTTTCAAAACGCTATAAAAAAAGAACCACTCATGAAAATGACGTCAAATTTGAAAGGAATGTTATTGAAGAAGGCGGAAAGCGTATGGCAGAAGTAAAAATTTAGTTTCAAAAGCTAGCAACAGATGGCGCTGTAAGCGGAAGAAGACGTAAATTAAAATGTTAGTTAAATTTCAGTGTTATAAAGCCGCCAGGTACCAGGCTGTTCCTCATTTCGCGTCTCAGACGTTCGCCATGGGTGTTTCACTGCAGGACGCGCTCTGCTGGTAAAGCTGTATTACAAGCAAGAGTAGCTCTGCAAAAATTCAGGACACTAAAGGATATAAAAGAAAGGCGTTGGTCCAATGAGTGTCGTAGGATCTAAAGAAAATGATGCAAAAATTCGAAACGACAGGTTCGTTTGATGTGTCAATCTGGTAGAGGGAGAAAACGAGTGCATTCGACGGTAGTTGAAGAAATGGCCACAGCATTACAGGAGGGGTCGGCCGGTGGTGTGCAACAGTGCAAGTGCACGAGGAATTGCCCGAACATTGGACAGGCCTACGAGCACGGTGCTGAAAATTGTACGAAACATCCTGCAATGCTATCCGTACAAAATTGGCCATGTGCAGGTGTTGCTTCCGTCTGACCTGACAGCTAGGGAGACGTTTGCGTTAGAATTATTGGCTCGCATGGAAGTGGATAATGAATGGCCGTGGAAAATTTTGTGGACAGATGAAGCCCATTTCCATCTGACAGGATACGTGAATACCCAGAATCATCGAATATGGGCAACAGAAAATCCACTGGCAACGCACCCCGTACCACTTCATCCTGAAAAGGTAACGGTATGGTGTGGCTTTACGGCATCATTTATCCCACAACCATATTTTTTCGAGTAGACGGGTGCTTCCGGTCCTGTTACCGCAACCGTCACTGGTCAGAGGTATGCGTCTCTTTTGCGCAACCACGTGATTCCAGCTCTGCAACAGCGTGGATGTGTGGATGAAATCATTTTTATGCAAGATGGCGCTCCTCCGCACATTGCACATCCCGTGAAGCAGCTGCTGAGGCGCCATTTCGGAAATGCTCGAATTATCGGCCGTCATTTCCCTACAGCCTGGCCGTCCCGATCGCCTGATCTTACTCCGTGTGATTTCTGGCTGTGGGATATCTGAAGGATGTTGTGTTCCGTGCTCCAATTGCAAATTTAGCGGAATTAAAGGCACGCATTTCGCAACACATTCTGAAACATCACCCCGGAAACACTGCGATCCGTTGTGGAACATGCTGTTGTCGCTTTCAACTTGTTGCACACAACGGTGGACACCATCTTGAACATGTTTTGCACCAGTCTCGCGACAGTTCCGAACTTCTTTGATGAATGGGTATGTCGCCGCAAAACTCTTGAAACCGATTTGTCCCTTTCGATGTGATATGTACAGTCATGCAAATAAAATTATTCAACAATTCTAATTTTTCAATGCGTTTTAATGTGTAACTTACACCTTAGCCATTGTTTTACGAATCATTTCTCGTTTCTCGTCGTGATTCTGCCGGTTACAGCGCCATCTGTTGCTAACTTTTGAAACGAAATTTTTTTCTTCTGCCTTCTTCAATGACATTCCTTTCAAATTTCACATCATTTTCATCAGAGGTTCTTTTTTTATAGCGTTTTGAAAGTTAAACTTTAATTATAATCACCCTGTATTTATGTAAAAGAAGTTCTCTATTATTTTAATGATAATGTTTCTTAATTTTCTGATTTTCTTACTTTTTATGATACATAATTTAAAAACTAATTTTATGCAATAAAATTGTGAATGTTATTAATATTTATTAATATTTTCTTTATAGGTGACTTATTCTCTTTTGCATGAGCGGTGAGTTAACAATTTTTAGCTTTTATCGGACTTTTTGCACATTATTTTGTTGTCTTAGCATATTAACTATGGACCTGAAATTTCAAGAAATAACACATAATTTTGGACAGGAAATTTAGAATGAATTAGAAATGAATAATTTAATTATGGACTTGAAAATGTTTTAGCATATTAATTATGGACCTGAAATTTCTTTCCTCAATTCTGCCTGAGTACTGGCCCAGCACTCAGGCAGATTTGAGGAAGTCTAAACTATTTTTGTTTATACTATTCAAAATTTATCTCTCTAAAACTGATTTTAGCTAGTTCATACTGAACTTGTTTGTAAGGTTTATTTTAATTGTTAAGAATCTATCGTACACATCTACTGTTAAACTCACTTGTAATTTTGTTCCTTATCTCAAAATCTATCCTATATTTCTATTATTTTATCTACTGAGCTACAAAACGAAAATGAGAAAAAAATTAAACAGAATGAAGAATCTAATGTTAAGACAGAGAGATTTATTATTTCAGCCGGTAGTATTACACGGACCTACAAAATTAAGAAACAGCAAGTTTTCAAAGCTCACCATAACAAAAATGTCAGTAATGTTTAAAGTCACAGTTCATATGCATGACAGTAACGAAGTTTAAAGAAAATATATGCAAAAACAATATCACGAAAATGAAGATATTATTTATATCTTCTTCACTTTTATTTTCTGAAAATGAATACTTGGGAGTTCGAAAAATAAATGCAAAAATTGTAATTTTTGTCCACGAGTGTTGATTTTCAGCTGTCACAGTTTCATGGACAATATCCATGAGAGTGTATTATTGTTCAGGAGAAGTTGTTTGACCATTTCGTTGAGTTGGCAGATGATCGGAGGGATTGAAATGAGAATGTCACAAGCTGATGCTGATATACGTCTTAATGTTTCTCGTAGTGTGATCCTCCGACTATGGAATCAGTTTGAATCCGAGGATTCTGTGTCCAGAAGACATGTTCCAGGCAGACCAAAGTTAAAACACTTGCGAGAGGCTATTATTTAGCTGTTTTAGCTCGAAGGAGAAGCAACATTACCGTGCCTCAGGACATGGCCGAAAATTTAGTGGCAACAGGAACAAGAATCTCAGAAACTACAGAACGTAGACGCCTGTACAATACAGGTCTGTATGCAAGACGACCAGTTGTTTGTGTCCCCTTGACCCGAGGACACAGAGGTGCCCTTTCACATTGGCCAAGAGAAAACGTCTCCTCGACCAGTCAACAATGGACGTCTGTTCTCTTCAAAGACGGGTCCAGGTTCATATTGGGGGTGATTCAGGTCGTCAGCTGATCTAGAGGGAACAACGCTTCAGATACAACCAATCCCACATTGTAGAAAGACACAGTTATATAAGTGGTGGAAGAGTAGTTTGGGCTGGGATCTCTCTCGATGGTCACACTGACCTGCATGTGTTCCATGGAGGACCGTTCACCGGCGTTAAATATCAAGACGAGATCCTTGATCAATATGTCCGCCCATATGCCGTTGCTGTTGATTCTGGATTTCTTCTGATGGACCACAATACGTGATTGCAACGAGCACGGGCTGCTAAAGAGGTCACGGTATGAAGCGAATGGAATGGCCAGCTCAATCCCCAGACCTGAAACCGATAGAGCACCTGTGGAACTACCTTGGGAGACAGGTTGCTGCTTTAAGTACTCGTCCAGGGTCGTTAGATGATCTTGAACAAGGATTGCTCTGCGTCTTGTCGTTGCTTTCTATTTCACTGACTGATAACTTAATTTACAACATGGAAGTCGTTGCTGTCAATGTATTGGAGCTAGGGGTTGATACGTTCTAATTAGAGACCATTTTAGTAATGTTACCACCATTTTAGTAAAGTTTCATTTAATTACCATTTTAATAACGCTTCACAAGAAAGATAAGTATCCTGAGCTTCCTACATCTTATAGGCCAATCTGTTTGCTTCCAGCCTTGTTGGGAAAATTGTTGGAAAGAGTAGTACTAGGCAGGCTCCTGTTCTTTCTATCAAGTTCCAATGCAATTCGGTTTCCTTAGAGGGGAAATCCACCGATCATGCCATCACTCGGCTACTCTCAGTGGTTCAATCCAACAGAGCCAACAATCTACACTCGCTAATCATTAGCTTCGATATTCAAAGCGCCTTCGACTCTCTGTGGTGACCAGATGTCATAGACACCCTGGTCACCATGCCACTTTGATTTATATAATTCGAAGCTACCTAAAGATTGCTCAGTCCAAGTCACCCTAGACTCTGGAGTAATTATAAGGAAGCTTTCTAAAGGATGTCCGCAAGGTTCATGTTTAGGACCTAGCCTTTGGAATGTAGTTGCAAATACAATACTCAGAAAACTTAACGTCGTACAAAGCTGCGACATTATAGCCTACGCGGACGATTTTCTCCTTGTTGTAAAGGGAAAGTTGAAATTGGAGTCAAGTGTTAGCAAGGGATACCGTTCCACACCCACCACAGCTCTATAAGTGCTCACTGGTATTCTGCCTCTTGACTTGGTCGCAGAGCAGGGATGTACACTCACCTGTGTTTTGCGCCTTGAGAAAGATAGAACTCTATGAAACAGAACATATTTGCATACTAATTATGAAGGTAAAACAAACAATTATCTCTGCCACCTTTCAAGTAATAACCTTACGGACAATATTAGCACAAAACTTTCCACAACAACAAATTGTTGAATTACGATATACACTGAAGGCTCCAGGACGGAAACCGGAACTGGTAGTGGCCTATGTGTTATGAAAGATGGCGTCCCCATACACAAATGGCGAAGAATGCTGCCTGAAACAATTCAGTCTTCCAAGCGCAGTTAATGGCCTTAAAAAAGGCGATTAGCCTCTCTAGCCGCTTTATTGCACCTGCACAAATTTTGAGCGACTCGAGCTCAAGTCTGGAAGCCATTGGCGGTACCAGGTGCAGGAACACACTTGTTTTTGCAATACAAAAACAACTGCTTCAAATTTCGCCAGACCTAAGGCCCCTAGTTGCTCTGGGTTCCAGCGCACACTAGCATCTTCGATAACGAAATTGCAGGTGAACTTGCTAATGAAGCATCAATGAGTATTTACCTACCAGAATATCCACAATTGTTCCCAAAAAATTCCTACCTCTTCCTAAGACGACTACATATACACTACTAATTTCCAAATGGCAAATCAGGTGGAATGAATGAACCATCGGAAGACAAATTCTTTTGTTTCCGACCGCACGTTTCCACAGATGTATCTTCGTTTTCACCAGCGCAAATTACCTTCCTCACTGGCCACTGCCCATTCCCGGCATATCTGCACCATTTCGGAATTGCGGAAAACGATACATGCGAGTGTGGACAGCAAGGCAATTCTGAACACTATGCATTCTCCTGCGAGTTTGCAAAGAGACACCAAGCCTGTCCAAGCCTTCAAAATCATACTGGAAAGAATGGACATTGCATTTAATGAGGCATAAAGGTGCACCAAATAAACTAATCAATATATTTCAGTACTGAAGTACACACTATTGCTAATATACACTTTCATGAGAGTATATTCTGAATAGTTCATTCTGTTTTCATCCTACAATCGTTTTAACTTTATACTGTAAAATTATTATTGTAGAAACTGTTTATACTTTAGTTTGTAAAATTTTTCATTACACCATATTTAGTAGTATCGGTAATGCTGAATACATGCAACATCAGTACTTATATTTTGCTTGTGTACTGTTTTTATACTAGGTATACTGCATGTGTATATTGCTATACTATATATTGTTCTTACACTATGCAATTACGTTCAAACATATTCGTATTTAGGTGTGGTGTGGTGGTGTATTTAATTATGGCAAAGCACACGAGGGCTATCTGCCTAAAGGGAGGGATGCCTTTCGTGGAGGACTTTCTAAGGGAAACTGGCTCGCAATACACGTTACGTTACACATGGGGAAAACCACGAAAACGCCCATGCAGCCAGCCCGTTCGCGGGATTCGAACCTCAGACCGAGCTACCAGTGTTCAGCGTCTTTACCGCTCGGCCGCTGGTGGGCCTATTCGTATTTAGATACTTAGTTTTAAGTTTATACTTTAGTTTAAGTTTTCTATTATCATTTATAACCTAAAGTATTACTAAAGGCTACCCATATTAATTTGTTAATAACTGTGGCATGTATCCCAATGGAAAGGCCATTGATAATGTATGTAATCTATGTGCAGTAACCACGTATACCACTTTACTTGCAGTAATCTAGGTATGCAAAATAGCATAACGGTTTAGTAACGTCTGATCATTGTGGATTATTCTTAGGAATAATTCCACGGAAATATCCGTATAGGCACGATGGTATTTTCCTAGAACTTTGGATGCTACAGGTTTGGTTTTACTATGACTATAGACTCGTTTAGTGACTCAAACACGAAGGCATATTGTCAAAAGTAGATTCCCCCATGAGTAATCGTAACATTCCTATGCAATGTAACTAAGCAACAATAACCTACCCTGGCCAGGAAACTCTTCAGTGACAACGAATAAAGCTACGTTTATCGGTCCTACCCTGAGGTTCTTCCACCGAACAGCCATCATTCCGCATGAATTTATAGGACGGAAGCCTGCTCCGTGGCATACAATATTGTTACCACTTTACTGTGGTGTTATCAATTACCTCAAAGAACTGTGATATACTGTTTCTTCAAGACTGGACTTCTCTACTAAGAGTGAAATTTTTTGTTGTAATTCAAGTTTGTGTTAAACTTCAGAAACATTCTATGTCGCATTTATTAAAGAACTGCTGAGTGAACATGTCCTGTAAATTTCTTGTTTCTATGTTGCTTCATTCTCAAATAAGAGACAAAAAACATGCTTTTCGTTAACTTTTGAAGGGGAGTGTAGTTTAAAGCATTTCTGTTATTAACAAATATTTACATTATTTAATCTGGAAATTCCGATCATTCGCTTAACTTTTAGCGAGTCATGTGATTTAGCAAAATTACAAACATTCTTC